GGCATGGGAGAGTAGTACTTCTCGAGGATTGATTACTCTGTATAGCAATTTATTTGTTACTGTTGGGAATCACAAAATAACACATTTTTTCTAATGTAATTAATTAAAATCCATACCTGTAACAACTTCATCTTTAAAACAAAATTTATTATAATTATTTAATATATTTCGATAAAAGTTTATCCACTTCAAGTAAAATTATTTAAAATATAAATAATTTTTGTTCCATATTTGTTTAACAGAGATCACCTATACTGTGATTAGTTAAGAACATCAGAAAGTTTTATTTCTATGCATAAATAGTCTAAACTATTAGAATGCAGAAATAGTGGAAAACGAAAGTACACAAAGATACAATACCCGTTTTGTTGAGAAAAATGTAGAAAAAGAAAAATACTTAGGGTTCCCTTTTTCAATTAATATTTGATTACAATAAAAACAAGAAACCACAATTAAAACAGTAAAATAACTAACAAATATTGAACAAATATTTATTATTCCTCACATATATTCTAAAACAGATCCAATTATTTTTAATCAAAATATAAAATACATACTATTGTTTTTATAACGTAATTCTGTGAAAGTAAAAAATAAATTAATAATTATCATTTTGTTTTATAAAAAACCATTTATGTTTTAAAAAAAAATTGGCTTAATATTATTTTATTTAGTAGGCATAATTTTCCCAATTATTAAGTATTGCGTGTAAGGTTAATGATAATAGTATTTCTTAAAATAGGAACAATTTATAGTAAAATTTTGGTCATTTATAACAGGTTTAGAATAAATTGTTTTTAAACACATTGTATAAAATAGGCTAGTCCAAATATTTCAATTTATTAGCCACGTTCGGTCCTGGTAATCATTGTCTTTATTGGTCTTATATTATTGGGCAAAATATAGATATTGCAAGCTAGCACAGTCGGTGAAGCACGAGACACCTAAAATCAGGGTCGTGGGTTTGAGCCCCACATTGGGTGCAACTTTTTTGTCTACGTCGATAACTCCAACGCGACACAACATGTTCAAACTTTTAGTACTCTGGTTTTCGGTGTAAAATAATAGTTGACAATTATAAAATAATAATTGTTTTTATATTAAATATAAACTTAAGTAAGTTTTTTCTTCTATTTCGGGCTCTGTCCTTCATGTAAAGGAAATTGCCTATTAAAAATTAATATTTTTACGCATCAAATGTTAAATTGGTCGTTGCAAAAGGTCTACGTACGTATGGGTCATTAATACCGGTATGAAAAACCGATATTTCCACACAACAGTGGATGATTTTCGTAAGTTCCTGATTTACTAAGGAGAAAATGTGTCCGGATATGGACGATGTACATTAAGAAACAATTACGACGGTGTCCACTGCCAGCTTGTCCCCCGACCAATGGGACATCAACATATTAGATGACCGGATGAACTACAAAAGGGGTTCAGTCAAATCAGGTAAACAAAGGGTATATCTACACCACCACACAAGTATAATAAGAAAGAATACTATCACCACGACGCCAACGCGTTCTGTTATTTTCAATGTCTANATCCGCGTTTGGTGTCGTAACAGCTCAGTGCAACAAATATATAAACAGAATAGTCTAGTTTTGAATGTCGCTTGCATTTGGCTTAGAGTTATAGTAACATATTTAATTTATATCAATAATAGACTTTCTAAAGATAAAATGAGCTTTTCGTTTATTAATAATAAGTTGTTTTAGAGAATTTGACAAACATTAAGGGAATCTTGGTTTCTCACGTAGGTACTTTCAGTGGAATAAATCTATTGATATAATGATATATATATAATGTATATAATAATATATATTATGAATATAATAATTACCTAAATTATCACTAGTCATCGCCAGGAATGTTTAAGGTAAGAAATTATCAGAGGAATAACAGTTGCTCAACCTATAATAATCTGAAGTCACTAGTGGAAATTCCCCTAAATAAAATTTTAAATTATAGATTTTTTTTCTTTTAGAATTGTGTTTTAGATTATCTTTGAAACAAAAACTATTTGACACCCTGATAATTGACCAAAATAATGATCAATGATAATTTATAATTTAGTAAATTCTGTAGTCATTGTTTTATCTGCTAAATATACAAATAAAAACATTAATTGTTTAAACCACTTGCCTCCATTAGAGTCAATTGTATATCCTATGAAATAAAAATTAAATATTTAGTAATTAAATCAGTATATATTTTATTATTATATTGGAATGACTTTAATTGATTTTTTAAAGGGGATTTAATATACATTCTGCACATACTTGCTGACACCTTGTCGTAAATGGACTTGGCGGTCATTCCTAGAATAATTGACAATTATTATAGAGTTTAGTAAAAGTTATTAAAATGCCTTGATATAAATGATTGTATTGTATCATATCAGTTGTGGTTAATTGTAGTTTTGGGTTAAAACTTTTTTGTTGTTTGAACATAGGTTCATGTAGATGAGTAATAATTTATTATTTTTACTGTAATAAATTAAATATACTATATAATTATATAAATAAGAAAATATATATGCACTTTTTTTTATTTATATTGATTTACTATAATTTTTTATGAGTAATTACCATTTTAATAATTTTGTTTTTTTAAGTTATTATTTATAAAATAAATTTTTAAATTTTGGTGAATATTTTTTTTTATATTAAATATTATTGTGTAAACACATCCAAGTCAAAAACGAATTTACGAACCACTAGTTTCATGCATAGTTGTTCTTAATAAAATTGCATTATATTATGTTTCAATATTTAATCCGTAAATAGAACCATAGAGGAAATAAAATAATACAGTTTATTATAGGCGATAGATTTTGGCTATACACTATACGAAAAATTATA